CACCGCAAGTAACCTTGTCCTCACCGCCAGGAACCTTGTCCTCACTGCCAGGAACCTTGTCCTCACCGCCTGTAACCTTGTCCTCACCGCCAGGAACCTTGTCCTCACCACCAGGAACCTTGTCCTCACCGCCAGGAACCTCGTCCTCACCGCCAGGGACCTCGTCCTCACCGCCAGGAACCACCGCCAGGTCCTCACCGCCAGGAACCTTGTCCTCACCGCCAGGAACCTTGTCCTCACCGCCAGGAACCTTGTCCTCACCGCCAGGAACTTGTCCTCACCGCCAGGAACCTTGTCCTCAGCGTCAGGAACCTTGTCCTCAGCGTCAGGAACCTCGCGAAAGGCCTCCGAAGTTTTTACTCTTGTACGTGCAATCGAGTGAGATCATATAAATTTGATTATCGCGTATCATGTTTTATATTAAAATAATCACAGTTCACGAAACAGGCATCCTTAATTCTCATTTCACGGAGCATTTTTATCAACAACCACGCCTCACGGCTTTAGAACAAATCACATTTCACGACACTAAAATCAAGCATTTCACGCGAACAAATATTGACCATTCACGGCTCACGAAAATACCCTTTCCCACCCTCTGCAATGCACAGTTACAAGCGTCTATTTTTGCATGACCATCAAGAAAATTAAGCCAACCTGAAGTGATATTGATCCTGTACACATGACCAACCTATCGTCTGGCATGATTTTATCCATCATTCAAGGCATTAATTGCCATTTACCATGTTATTAACTTGAACTTTTTAAATAAAATATAGTTGAAATAACAGATTAATTTGAACATGTTATAAGCATTTTGCCATATACAGCTATTTCAATCAAGGTTGTTCACCAAGCGCAAAAGGCTTGCTGGATATATATTAAATTAAACTCTATTAAAAAATCATTAATAATTCATGAGGAAAATACAAAAGAAATGAATGTTTAATCAATGTTTGTAAATCGGATAAAGATTTCTCCTGATTTACGAAAACTTCAGCTTTGATTTTCTCGGCTTAGACAATGTTTATTTTTAAATTTACTTCGCCAATGAACTCATCAGTCACAGCGCTTGCAACATGTACGCTCCGCGTACCTGTTTTTATAAAGTTTAAACTTTTCCATGCGTACACATGCATACATATTGTCGAGACACTTACTTTCCCTTGCAAGCTTCTTGCAATCTTTGCTGTACAGTTGTTCTGTTTTCTTTCGTTCCATTTTTAATTGCCGCTTCAGATCTTTCACTAAATGGTCGCCTTTCTTGCCAGCTATCACATTTTCAACATTTTTGTCTTTTACTTCTTGTTTGAATTTTGAAAACACATTTTCCGGCCTGCTCTTGCTTTTCAGCCTCCATGGCTCCTACACTGTAATTTCTCGTTAAGCTCCTAAATAATAAAAAGTTAGTTTAGTCTAAGTTTCTTCACGTAGTAACACAAGATCAATATAATTATTAGAGATAACTCTTACTGAACCTCATAAGGAAGAACAGTTTCGAACTGACAGTATAAATAATGCTAGTTTAGTTAGGTTTCCTCCTGTAGTAACATGTACTGGATAAATAAGAGATGACTCTTACTGGACCTCAAGGGAGAACAGTTTAGAACTGATAGAGCTAATATCCAGTATAAATAAAGTTAGTTAATTTAGTTTAGGTTTCCTCCTGTAGTAACACTGGATAAATAAGAGATGACTCTTACTGGACCTCAAGGAAGAACAGTTTAGATAAATATATAAATAAAGTTAAAATTTAATTGGGTGTTTCAAGCCCCAATTAAATTTCCATGGGAGACGTGAGCTAGACCACTGCACCTCCCCTAAATTTTTTCCACCTCCCCCACTATTTCCACCATAATCCGGCCTTGTTTGACAGTGAATTAATTATGATAAAGTGATGAAGTAAAGTTCATTACCGGTATGTACATAAGTATAACATCATTTGATTAATATGATTTCGGACTCATAAATTAATACTAATAGTGTACATTGTCGTTCTGTTCATGCAGCTGCAAAAATTAAACTACTAGTAGCACGCTTGTGTGATGTTACTTTGAGTGTGTATCCACACCGGGCAGGCTTGAAGAATATGCCTGGCCACGGTCGGATCAATATTACACCAACACAGCAAAATACTAGTAGCACATTAATTAAAGTACATTGTCACTTAATTACAAGTATAAATGCAAATGACATCTAAATCTAACATGTTAACATGTTAACAGTTGTACTTTGTCATTTTACTTATTCTATATTATTTGATTGTTAATTTGCGGTGAAAATTTTTTAAATTTCCATGCGAAAGTACGCCCTCCTCCCCGCCCGATTTTTTAACTATCAGTCACAGCCGGCTACTTTTTTTGTACAGCCGCCTACTTCGAATCATTCTGAAACCCCTGTTATTGTGTTAAAACGCAACATGTATCAACGCGCAATGCATATAATTTTTAAAGTGCACATATTTTCTCAACAATCGCACGGTTTTAGACAATCGGAAATATGTGTTATTTTCTGCTGGCTGAGGTACGAAAGAAGCAGAAAATGTTTTCTCACACAAGACTGGGAGCCCGATTGTGAATCGGGTGTGTTTGGGTGGTGCAGGTTAAGACAGCACATGTTGTTGTTGCTTCCGCAACGCTTGACATAAATATCCCCACCCGCCCGCCCATTAATTATAGTCAGTTATAGCTTGTTAGATCATAGATATCTTATTTACACTAGATAGTGCATCTAATTATTCTGCAATTCAAAAATTGAAGCCGTGATTGCAGTCTCAAGTCGTTCCCATGAAATGAGAAGATTCATATGTTTTCTATTTCTTAAACAGGGAACTTAAACATTAATTAAGTTAACCCTGTTTCAAATACGTTTTTAAACTATTCAAATGATGAAAGTTATTGTTGTTTATAAGCGTTTATAGCAAGTGGGTCCAACCACTGGCTGCCATCTATTCAAATGGGGGTTAAACCGCTGGAATATTCTTGGCTTCAATTTTACTAAAAGAGATGCGCTATCTAGTGTATATAAGATATCTATGTGTTAGATGCAGTGGACATTGGGTCATTCCAGAAAAGATCCATACCCCCCCTACGGAGGAAATCGAAAATAACCCCTTCCCCCCCTTCAGACATCCTTGAATGGTTCATCCTCCCCCCCTCTCCGGACATCCAAGCCCAAAATTACCCCCCCTCCCCTTCGGACATCCACTATTTCTAAATCTTTCTAAAGGCTACCTCGCCGTTTGAAAACGTCACCGAAAATTAGACTACGTTCACACTACGTGCGAGCGAACTAATGCGGGCAGAATTTATGTGTGTTCATACTACCGCCATTACAGTTTGTTTACAAATTGAATTAGCACTTGTGTAAACCCAAAATATTTCAAATAGACCCAAGAAATTTAACTGAAAAGCATTCGAGTTTACACGTTTGTGTTCACACGAAGCTATCAAGCGCTCCGCCGTTTTCAC